TCTACCTCTCTCTCTCTCTCTATATATATATATATATCTCTTTCTGTGTATGTGTACGTTCACGTACTTACTTTGCGCGTACTAACTCTTTCTCTCTTTCTCTTTCTTTTTTTATTTCTTTCTTTCTTTCTTACTTTCAGTACTCTTCTCTTCTCTTCTCTTCTGTTCTGTTCCGTTCTGTACTGTTCTCTTCTGTTCTGTTCTGTTCTGTTCTGTTCTGTTCTGTTCTGTTCTGTTCTGTTCTGTTCTGTTCTGTTCTGTTCTGTTCTGTTCTGTTCCGCCGACACGAAGCACGCTACCACGTCCTCAAATTGAAGCCTCCAGAGGAAAAAGAGATGCGTGACCTCAGCTCGATCCGCTCTTTCTTATCGTCCTCCTTCTCTCTCTTTCTTGATCGTTCTTCTTCTCCTTCTTCTTCTTCTTCTTCTTCTTCTACTACTACTACTACTACTTCGTCTTCTTCTTTTTTCATTTAGTTTTTTTTTTTTTTTCATTACTCCTTTTTCTTCTTAGCTTTTCTTATTTTTTTTTTTGTTCGATTATTCATCTTGGTTGAAGGTAGAACGGCGAAAGGTAGTACGGAAAGAGAGAGAGAGAGAGAGAAGGTAGGTGGAGAAGGATGATGATGGAAGGGTCCGAAGAGGCGCCATGTTGTTGCTTCGCGATGACAAGAAAGCCGACGGTAGCGAGAGCCAACAGAGCGCTTCCTTACGTCCTACGTCTTGATTGGGTGATTACGAATTATTCATGGTGCTCCTACCGAGACTCATAGACCATAGCTAGATGAGAATAATATTGAAGTTGAGTTCTATGATTTCGCTTGAGACTGGCTACTTACATGTATATATATATATATATATACAGTGGACCTTGCTTTTGTCTGATCTCTGGTTTAGGTGTTTAAACGGTAAAAAGAAAAAAAAATATTTTTATATTATCATTATGAATGAAATTAAATAGAAATTCTTTAAAATGAATCATCAATTTCTTTTTATTCGCACCTTTCAATTTGAGATAAATCCTTACGATGCAATAATAATCTTCCCCAAGATCCACGATCTATCTAGTCAAAAAACATAATATAGTTTTAAAAAAATCAATATTATAGAAAATGACAGAGAAAAGGGAAGCAAGATAAATGAAATAGAAAGAGGTTCATTTCTTAAGAAATAATTAAGAAATAAATCTAAACTCAATTGAAAAGAAATTTTTACGAATGAATCAACTTATCAAACTTCCCTTATCTATATAGAAATAATACTACACGTCGATATCCGTCTCTCGTCGGCTACGATGAGAATTAAATTACTCCTAAAATAGAAAAAAAAAAAAAAAAAAAAAAAAGAAAAAATTACATAAAAAGAAGAGTGGGGGAAGGAAAAAACAAAAGAAAAAAAAAGAACGAAAGGAAGAGAGAGAGAGAGAGAGAGAGAGGGAGAGAGAAAGAAAAAAAAGATGGAAGGGAAAAAAACGAACTGTCAACTTTCCAAGCAATGAGATACAAATAAATAAAAGGGGATTGGAGGAGGGGGGTTGAGTGGGAGGTTGGGAAGAAGGGGAGAGATTCTTTATCGCTCGGATGTTTTGCAAACAAGCGAAGCGCGCGATCGCTCATCAGCTCGATTCTCTCCATGCGGGGGGGACAAGCTCCCGCGGTGCTCGAGCTAATGAAATTATCCGGTTCGAGACCCCCTGCAACGACATCAACGAGCTACGACAGCCAGTTATCCCGTGATTACGGTATACGCAGTTACATACCTATTACATACATAGCTACATTACACGTATATACATATAAAGAAGACGAGTTAAGAGAAATATCCACCCCACCTCTCCTTTCCACCTTCTACTCCCTCCTATTCCTCGTTCTTTCCTTATCTATCTATTCCCTCTCTTATCCATTTTCTCAATCCTCCTAACAATTTCGTAAAAAAAAAAAAAAAAGAAAAAGAAAAAGAAAAAGACGAAGAAATAGGAGGAAGAAACGATTGGAAGAAGCAAATAGTCAAAAGATAGAAAGAGAGAGAGAGAGAGAGAGAGAGAGAGAGAGAGAGAGAGAGAGAGAGAAATAGAGATAGAACAAAAACAAAAAGAAAAAAGAGGAAAAAGAGCAAAAAAAAAGAAAGAGAGAGAGAGAGAAAAATGATCAAGAGTTTAATTTCTTCGATAGACCATATTCGTCTTCTTGGCACGTGTAGTAGCAATTATAAGGATGATCTAACGAGGACATCTTCCTGGTGATATCCTAAGAAATCGTTTCTACTTTCCTCGAGAATTCTTTCTCGGTATATATCGTTAAGATCGAAATCATTAAACTGGTTAGAATGTTGGTAGGGTGTTGGTATAGAAAAAGATAGATATAGAAAAAAAGAGATAGAGATAGAGAGAGAGAGAGAGAGAGAGAGAGAGAGAGAAAGATCTAATTGGTTCACGTGCCTCGATATTACCTACGTTCTTTCTAATAAATCGTTCATTGGAAACCATGAAGGATAATTAGGGAAAGATCTTTTCTCTCTCTCTCTCTCTCTCTCTCTCTCTTTCTCTTTCTCTTTCTCTCTCTCGAAAGAGAGAGAGAGAGAGAAACAGGAGAAACAGGAAGCTGAGAGATATATCTATAACGTGGAAAAATACGAAAGACAGAATTTATGGATCCTGGTAGTTATTAGAACAACGATGACCAACAACGTCTACCCTCAACTCGATTCACTGGACACTTCGGCAACCCTATCCACGATGTCCAGGGCGTGGCAGATCTGTGATTTATTAAAGTCATTTGTGCCGATAATGCTGACAGATGCCGTCCGTCGGGTATCCAGTTACGATATGGACTTAATCCTTGGGTGCAACAGGATCCTCTCTCTTTCTTTTTTTCTTTTTAAGGATTATTTTTTCTCGTTTTTATTTATTTATTGTTTGTTTTTTTCTTCTTTTTTTTTTTTTTTCTTTTTTTTTTCTTCGATAGAAAGGATTCATCAATATATTTCTCTTAACGTTATCATTCTTTCTAACGATCAAAATTAAAACCTAATAGAAAATTATTATTCATGTTTTTGTCGTGTTAAAACGCAGATTTATATTTCGAATAATATCGTTTTTATCGAGATACGATTAAAAGGAAGAAAGAAAGTAAATAAAAATTTACGAGAAAATTTATAAATATTGTATTAAAAAGAAAAAAAAAAGAAAAAAAGAACTTACTTGCGTTTGAGTTAGTCCCAGGCTAGCTGCAAGTTCTGCTCTTTCTGGTAATGCCAGGTACTGTGTTCTTTGGAACCTCCTATTCAGTTGCTGAAGTTGCAAGCTGCTGTAGATGGTCCTTGGTTTTCTCATCTTTTTACCCTTGCCATTTCTTAAAGAACCACCACCACCACCTCCAAGCTCATCCACGAGACTTCCACCCTTGTCGCCCAATGGCGAGAGGTCTGCGAACATGCACCACCCTAACATCAACTTTCAGAATCCTCGTCACCTCTGGTATACGAACTAAAGAGAAACCGAACTAAAAAAAACCTAATCGTTTCTACATCTAATTGATATACGACAATGAGTAATAATTATTTTTAATAAATATATCTCTGTTAAATATCTCTTCAAAGTAATAATAATAATAAGAAGAATAATAATAAATAAGTTTAATTAATCGATGGAGTTCCATATTTCGGATAAATATTTTTAATAAAATAAATTACAAATATTTATACTATATATTTATGATATATTATCCATAGAAGTATATTAATTTAATTTAAATTATTACGAGGTGATGATATAAATTATCGTTGACCTTTTATCCTTCCTTATAACGTAGTAATGTGACAAGGATAGAAAGTTACGCACCGACAGTTCTCTCGGCTTACATATATACGACTGAACTGTCCTTCGTCGGATGTCTACTTTTAAGTAATAACATATTCTAATACTATACACCGATCCCCACTCTCTCACTCTCTTTATCTCTCTCTCTCTCTCTCTCTCTCTCTCTCTTTCTTTCTTTCTTTCTCATTCTCTTCCAGGAGACTTTTATTTACTTTTTCCTTCTCGGAGAATTCGTCCTTTTGAACTTGATATTCATAAAAACTATCATAACATACGTCTCGAGCAAAAATCAATAATCACGTTTATTACTCATACACATATACTATCTTTTATTTGAATATAAATAATGAGAGAAATAAAATTTGATGTTTTGAAAATTAATCATTTATTATATATATATATATATATATATATATATATATATATATAATATTAATATTAAAAATAATTAATAGATTCTAAAAGACATTTAAATTAGTTATTATATAGAATATAATTTGTAAATATTCTTGAAAATATAATAAATATTAAAAATATTAATTCTCAATTTATATAAAAATGAATGAGTTTTGTTATATATTTTTTTCAAGTTAATCATGAAAGCATGAAAATTCTTTAATTTGTTCTATGAAAAAGCTTATATAAAAAAAAGAAAAAAAAAAAAATATATATATATATATATATATCTACTAACGTGTAAAATTTCTAATCCTTCGATCTAAAATCAAAGATATAATATTCGTCGTTGGGTCGTTTGTTCGTTCATTGAGATGTCAAGCGCGACAAAACATCGAGTTAACGTCGAGAAGTTACGCGAGCTCGCATACCGAACCTTTCCCCGTGATAATTAGCGCGATTATTAATTAAAGCGTAATTTGCGGTCGCGCGGCCGGACGTAAACGTGGGTTAGAACGACGATCATCGTGATTTATGGCCGGCGCTCGTGTCATTCCCTCCAAAAGGCAAAAGGCTATGTGCGAACGATCATCATAGTTGTCTAGTTAGTATAGATCTTTTTTTCTTCTATTTATCTCACTCTTTCTCCCCCATCCCCATCTCCCTTCTCTCTCTCACTCTCTCTCTCTCTCTCTCTCTCTCTCTCTCTCTCTCTCTCTCTCTCTCTCTCTCTCTCTCTCTTTTTTTCTAATAATATATAAGAATTTTCTTCAAGAAAAAAAAAAAAGAAATGTTTATTCTTATATACACATTTTATTCATTTTTTTTTTATATCGGTCGTCGTTCATGAATCTTTCAATTAAAGAAAAAAAGAAAAGAAAAAAAAAAGCAAATCTAAAGCTATCTTATTACGTCGATTAGATTTTCTAAACAAAGTGAAAAAAGAATGATAATTGTCCTTAAAAAATCAATAAAATACTCTCGTCTTCTTCGTTAATTATCAATGATCGTTTAATTATTCTCCTTTACTTTTCTTTTCTTACGATTACTTTCATCGTATCTTCTAAACGATAAATGTATAATAATCCGTCGTTAATAATATCGTACGATAATCTTTTTATTCGTTTTATCATCATTTATTTCGATTAAAATCATAAAATCAAAACAATCGATAGTAATAATAATCCATTAATAATTTTCACATTTATTTTATACTTCTCAATTATTTCAATTTTAGAAAGTTTTTTTTCCAAAGAAAATACAACAATTCTTATTATCAATGATCTTAGTTGACCGATCTTTTTTCTTCAGAAAATAAAGAAGAACGAAAAAAAAAAAAAAAGTGAACCTAAAATCGTGATCGTAGATTTGTCTAATACGATTAAAAAAAAGATATCGGATAATGTATTATGAAGAGAAAAGAAATAAAACTTGGAGAAAGAAGGAAAGGGAGAAAAAGAGAGAGAGAGAAAGAGAGAGAGAGCTATATTATTATCGATTATGAGCAAGCTCGCGTTAATTAGAAACGGTTAATATGACGAAATACTCGTTGCTGGGAAAAATATACGTTCGCTATGAACAGGGAAAATCGGCGGGTACCGTTTTACTTCATCATAATAATCATATATGTATATATATATATATATCTTATTATTATTTTTCTTTTTTTTTTCTCCTCCCTTTTTCCTCTTTTTTTTCATCTTTTATTATCTCCATCTCTCTCTCTCTTTCTCCATCGTACCCTATGCGTATCTCACATTGGCAGCTGTTGCCGTTACCATATGCAAAATACTTGCTCGAAACATAGTCAAGGAAATTATTAGCTCGACGTAAAAGCCAGCAGCGTCGGAACCAACCGACGGTAAGCTTTATGGCTTACCTTCGCGGAACTCTCGCACGATTCACCGATTAATTGGTGTAATAATTAGTCTTTCAGTACGCCTTTTTATCCTATCAACCAAATGCATATGATTTTTTTTTTGCAACGGTCGTTCTATTTATAAAAAAAAAAAAAAAAAAAAAAAAAAAAAAAAAAAAAAAAAAAAAGAAAAAAAAAAGAAAAAAAAAACTGCCCGAATAAAAAAAGGACTTCCTTCTTTTTTTCTTTATCTTTTTTTTTCTCCTAGAAAACGAACTTCATATTCGTGTTCTGAAAAATTCATCTGGAGATCTCGACGAGTGTGATAGATTAACCTTCGTGTTTTATCTCATTTTGATACGATCGATCAAACGCATACGATTGTTTACAACGATCGTTCTATTTAAGAAAGATAATAATTGATCTAACTGGAAAATACAAAGAACGATTCTTGCTTTTTCTTTTTTCTTTTTTTTCTCTCTCTCTCTCTTTTTTTCTACTTTTTTTTCTTTTTTACAAAAAGAACGAGTTTATGGAGTCTTGGAAAATCTCATCGATGATCTCGACGAGCGTGATAAATAAAAGCCTTCGATTTCTCTTTTTTTTTTATACTATCGCACATGACTTTACAACGATCATTTTATTTTTAAAAAGTATCCGGGAAAACGTGATTTTTACAAAAAGAATATGCTTATGGAATTGTAAAAAAAAAAAAAAATAATCATTGAAAGATCTTGCCGAGTTTAATGATTAACTTTAGATTATCACTTTTTATTCTATCAACCGAATACATATTATTTTACAACGATTGTTTACTACTTGACAAAAAAAGAGAAAAAAAAAAAGAAAGAAAAAGAAAGAAAGGAAAAGAAAAACTAGCTGGAAAGTAAAAGAAAAAAGATTTGTTTACGAAAATTTATGAACTCACTGAATATCCTACGATGATCTTGATGAAATGGAATATATTTTCACTTGTCAAAATTCCATTTTCTTTGAAAATCTTTTCACTCTTAAATATTAATCTTCGAATATGATTTTACGAAGATCCTGAATTAGTTTATGACATCTTAATAAAATCCAAAAGGTTCCTTTAAATATCCGGCCAGGTTCAAGTAAATCCTTGTGTAAACAACCATTTAATACCTAATCCATCAAGGTCGAAGTTTAGGTAGAAACGGCACTAAGTCATTATCTTTGTTCATTCTAGATAAATGTAGACAGTTTCAACAGGTCGATAACTAATATAAGATTTCCAAGACAGGAGCTTTCACCCTAATGAGATTTCTTTTCTAAATTTAAATTTGCGAACGACAATTAGAAACAAAAAAAGAAAAAAAAAAAAACAAACAAAAAAAAGAAAAAAAAAGATCGACGGATATGTTATTACTTATTCCTTTGGAATAAAAATAAAAGATCGAACGTCGAAAGATATATAATGATATTTTGATTATCATAATTTATTGGCCACTTAAGACAATTTCAATCAGTTTGACATATGCATCATTGATTAAAATTTATTAGAAAATTTCTTCCTCTTTTATTTCTTCTTCTTCTTATTCTTCTTCTTCTTCTTCTTCTTCACGGATTAAGAGAATAATTTTCATTATTAGAATAGAAAAGAAAAAAATAGAAAAAGGGACAAAAATAAAAAATGAAGAGTGGAAATTACAATCGGAATGTTTATTATTTAATTAACTAAACAATCGGATATATATATATATATGTATGTATGTATGTATGTATGTATGTATGTATGTATGTATACAGAATTAAGAAACAAAATGATGATCGAAGAATATTAGGATATTTGGACGAAATTTTTTTCAAAAGGGTATTAGAAGAATCATTATTTTCTATGGTCATTAAGAAGAGTTATTTTTTGCAGCTGAAGTAAAAGGAGTACGGTGACCCAGTGGACGTTTAAGTGCGTGCTGGACGTAAGAGAAATCCAAACGATCGATAAATACTTACAACGTGCAACACCGTTCATGGCAGCTGCAATGTACCTTTCCTCTTCGCGAAACACGAGAAATGCATCCCTCTTTTATGAAAGGTATAATAATAATATCGCGAACACGTTTGCACGATACCTATGCAAATTTTTTCGTCAATTTTTTCGTCGAATATTTATCACGATCATTTACCAAAAAGAAAGAAAATTTTGCCGACGCGAAGAGATGTAATAATTCGGTTATTTCGAGCAACCCTTTCTGCTTCTTTTTCCTTCTTTCTCTCTCTCTCTCTCTCTCTCTCTCTCTCTCTTTTCCTCTTCTCTTCTGTTTTCTCTTATCTCGATCGATTTTAAGAACAAAAATGCTATAATAGGCATAACAGTTGATGACATTATTTTGTGAAAACATCGAGAATGATTGAACGTTCATTTTCCGAATGAAAATTGATGCCTTCGTACATTGAAATCGCTTAGAACTATATCCTATGAATACTGAGGTCATTGAATCGATTATACACCCTCGAAGAATTTCTTTGATTTCAGACTCCTGCTCGCCTTCCCAACAATTTTTTATAAACGTATCCTACTTAAAAAAAAAAAGAGAAAGAGAGAAAAAAGAGAGAGAGAGAGAGAGAGAGAGAGAGAGAGAGGAAAAGAAACTTTTAAGGAAATGGTCTTGCATTACTTCTAAATGATGCGGTAGTTTTCGTAAATCGTAAAAATCAAGGGGGGAAAAAAGAGAAAAAAGAAAAAAGAAAAAAGAAAAAAGAAAAAAGAAAAAAGAAAAAATAAAGAAGAATCGAAGATGGTTACCAATGATTACTACATATGTACGAAGGATTTTTCTTCGAGAAGGGAAGAAAGAAAAAGAAAAGAGGAGGGGAAAAAAAACTTTAAGGAGTCCCATAGAACCGTAGGACGAAACAACCCCTTCCTAATAGTCTCTCTCTCTCTCTCTCTCTTTCACACACACACATACACAAACCCACACACACACACACACAAATGTACGAACGAACGCATTTTCTCAGGTTTTGCTCGATCGTCACAGCCTACAATTTCGACAGCCTACAAGTCCGTAGTATTCATGATTACTTATAATCCGCGAGTACGATCGTACGTGTTTCCACTTGAGAAATGTTCGAAAACTTCAAGAATGGGGGCGGGCGGGGGGGATTGGAAGGGGAGAATGGGGTTGGATAAGCTGGACAGGCAAAACGGAGTCGATAATCAGAGAGTTCTTCTTCTTCTTTCTTTTTTTTCTTTCTTTCTTCCTTTTCCTTTTTCTTTTCTTTTTTTTTTTCTTTCTATTTTTTCATTATGCAGAAATAAAAGAGGGAGCGAATATTTTCAATACATGGGAGAAGAGGAGAAGAAGAAGAAGGAGAAGAAGAAGAAGAAGAAGAAGAAGAAGAAGAAGAAGACGAGAAAAAAATGAAGAATGAAAAGGAAGGAAGGAAGGAAGGAAGGAAAAAGGAAGGGAGAAAAAAATATATACTTAAGCGAGAAATACAGGAAAGAATGTAAGCATGGAATGGGAAAAGAGGTAGGGCAGATAAAAGGGGTGGGTAGGTGGAAGAAAACCAGAGGGTGAAGAACGTACGTCATTACGAATTTACACGGAGCAGAGTCGGAGGGTTTTAGTCGACGACCTGTCGGACAACCACGAATAAAAAGAAGAAAAAGAAGAAAAAGAAGAAGAAGAAGAAATAAAAATGATAATAGAAATAGAAAAAGAAGAAAAAGAAAAAGTATCAATGTATTCCAACGAATACCAAACTCAAGTTTCATTCTTGACGAACCTTTAAAAAGTGCTTGATAGGATATTATAACATGGCCAACCCCTATAACAGAATTCCACCTTACTTTACACAATCTAAATCATACCCCATGAGAATATTTTAACCATAATATTTCGATACTAATAGCGATAATAAAAGAAGAAGAAAAAGAGGAGAGGAGAGGGTAAGGAAAAATTTTTTCTTTTTTTTTTTTTTTTCAAATGTTCATCGTCAAACGCATTCTTTAAAGTCTAATTTTTAATAATAATCACTGACTTAACTTTCAAACGTATACCGAAAGGAAGAGAGTTTTCTATCTAATTACGCTCGACAGGTGGCAAACATCGACTAGAATTATTATACTTGACTAGTAACATAGATATATGGTACTCTGTTATGCTACGGCTGCTGTTATTGCTGTCATCGAGTTAAAACTAGCTTAACCTTTCAAGATGGCTAAGTTATCTTTGAGTTTCTAAGTTACTTCTTCTTTTTTTTCTCTCTCTCTCTCTCTCTCTTTCTCTGTCCCTTTCCCTTTCTTTTTCTTCTCTCTTTCTCTCTCTCTCTCTCTCTCTCTCTCTCTCTCTCTCCCATTTTTCTTCTCCTTTTTTTTTTTTTTTAACTTAACCTTGGATATCTCACTCGGTGATATTTCATTCTGTAAAATATTCCGCGAATAAATGCCATGAGGAGTTAGGTATCTACCATCCGTGAATTCCCTACACTACTACGTTTGATAATGAGAAACGTAATTAGCCGACGGCTGGAGAAAGAAACCAAGTTGTGATTACGTTGTCTCGTGTGCTAATGCGATTGCAGGGTGAGAAAAAAGGAATAATGGAAGGACACCGAGAATTTGCGATTGAGTATAGCTCGAGAAGCTTTTTCTCTTTCTTGCTTTGTTCATAGGGATTCTTTTTCCTGTTCGTAGGTAGGTAGGTATATCTTATTCCGTTTCATGGTATTGTAGTTCTTAAAAAAAAAGAGAGAGAGAGAAAAAAAAAGAGAGAGAAAGAGAGAAGAGAAAGAGAGAAAGATGAGAGAAAGAGAGAGAAAGAGAGAGAGAGAGAGAGAGAGAGAGAGAGAGAGAGAAAGAGATAGGGAGAACAACGGGGCGTCGACCGACGCTGGATGAAGCCGCTACCTGCTGCTCTAGATTCTCTCTCTCTCTCTCTCTTTCTTTTTCTTTCATAGCTTTCTCTAGCTAGTCACTGTTTTAGAATCGTCGCGGATTTTAGGTTTGAAATTTCTTTTTCGCTGTATATGGAACTATCGATCAATCGAACGAGTTCGATCTTGATTAACCGACGATCGTGAAAAACTGTACCGTCGGTGATAATCCGATTGAAAACGTTCCTAATAAAATATCTTAAAACTATAAAAATAGTGTGATAAAAAAGTTGCGAATACATACAGTTAGGGTACTCACCGTCCTTGGGCGGCGAGGGACATTGAGGCGCGTAAGATCCAAGATGATATCCATAAGCATTATGTTGATGCATCGGCCCGAAAGGATATCCAGCTAGCGCTGACCTAGGACTTGGAAATCCAGGTTCTGCGTGTTGTTGATTCCCACTACCGGGTCCGGATGATTGGTGTCCTAAAGCGCTGACCTGATGGGAAAATTGATGTGCACCAGGTACGTTATGTCCGGATGGATATCCACCCCGTAAACTGGCAGGATTATACAGGTTATTATGCTGGAGTTCGATGAATGCAGATTTGCCAGTTTGGGAAACTGGTGTACTAGATGTCGTACTATCTCCAGCATTTCCACCGGCTCCAGGTGGTCCTGGCGTTACCGATCCAAGTCCACCATGATGTAGATGTTGGTCCATGTCGGAACCACCGTTTCCTCCAGCGTTTCCACCACCGGCTTGACCGCCTCCCGACGGTCCACCACCGGCACCACCCGACATACTGTTCGGGGTCGGGGTACTAGACGGACAGGGGTCGCCCGCCCCGAATGGGCTCCCCAGGTCCGTGAAATTGAGCGTCGTCGTGCTGCTTGGCCTCTCCACCTTCGAGCCGAGCTCGAGTGCGGCCTCGAGCGTCGATAAATTCGCCGCGGACGACGTCGTCGCCGCCGCCGCCCTAGCGCGACACCCGTACGGGGCCCGAATCTTGGATTATTTCTATTAGGTCTACGACAGCCAAGGACATTGATCCTTGTTGCTTATAATTCCAATTGATTTATCTCCTATATTGCGTTATATATCTTTCTCACTTGAATCACCTCCACTTAATCACGGCCACTTTTTTTTTCCCCCTTTTCCTCCCAACGCGTGCACTGTTATCAATAAATCAAATTTTCTCCTCTTTCTCCTTTCTAATTCCTTTCTTCTCTTCTTTAACCAAGCAAAATCCAAAACAAACTTGATAAATCCTTATACGGTCAGCTCGCCGTCGATATCTTCATGCTTCTATCGTAGCACCAAACGCACCCCCTCGACATGCCGATTTACAACTTCTCTCTATCTCTATTCCTCTTATAATATCTCTCTCGATTAATCTTTTCCTCTTCACACACGAGACACTTCATCAGCCAAGTAGCCGACGCGATTCGTAAACACGCGCGGGCGCGCGCGCGCCCTCCCTCCTCTTTTTATTTTCCTTTTCTCCCTTTTTTTTCTTTCCCTTTTTCTAATTTTCTTTTTCTTACAAGACGAACCACCGAGGTATTGAAAAGAATTTTTTTAATAACTAACTTTCTTTTCTTTCTCTCTTCTCGTCCGTAAGACAACGACGACGACGACGACGACGACGACGACGACGACGACGACGACGATGACAACGGTGACGACGACGATGATGACGACGACGACGACAACGACAATGTCGTAATGAAGTTACAGGAAAAAAAGGAGAGAAAAAGCACGATCGCAATCCTGATGACGGCGACGGCAACGGCGACGATGACGATCGCGACGATAACGACAACGACAACGACAACGATAACGATAACGACGACAACGATAACGACGACGACGACGACGACGACGACGACGACGACGACGACAACAACGACGACGACGACGACGACACGAACGAGGATGAAGAAGAGAGAAAAGCACACACGCGCGCGCCTTAGCCACTAACTGCAGTGCACACCGAGCGGCGCGGACCGGTATAATGATACATAATGAAGCCAGAGCCTCTCCCCGGAGCCCGGTAAATGGTTTCCCAAAGTTGCCGCTGTGGCGCTACAAGTAACCACGCCTACAAAGACTGTCAATCGTGTTTGTGATTCGTTCTCCCTACCACTTCGTAACTACGTTCGAAGCTCTCATTCGTTAGCCGGAGGCCATTATGGTTACCAACGGGGAGGTGGCTTTATTTGACCACTCCCACTGAAATCGTTTTCCTACCTTCACGCGAGCTGCGGAACGGTACGATTATACCTGAGCCACTGCGAACGCACTTGCCCGTTGCTCGTCCTGACGGATCATCGGTTTGTTCTCTCTTCTTGAATCCGTTTTATATATACTTGGACACTTTTTAAAGTATTAATGCGATACACAACATCTTTGATTAACATTTACTACCGATACCTCTATCATACATCTCTAAAAGGTATTCTGGTACGTAAAAAATGTTAAATAGAAACAAATTTTATGAAACTTGTGCGTTGATCCATAGTTATTATTTGAGTTTTCGTAATAGAAACTATTAGTTATATAAATTTTCTTATTCCCGTTTGATCCTTAAAATCCGACACGATCATCCGCGACACTCGCGATGACGAGACGTCCTTTGCCCCGCCCATCAACCGATCGCCAAGGGAATGGACCACCGATGGATGGAGGTGGAGCTCTTCCGTGCTCTCCACAACAACTTTTTTTACTCTCTTATCCTTTCGCCAACGTAGGTAGGTACGTACTTACCTACGTGTTGCACCGTTCTCGTTCTTACCGGTTAACGTCGATCCGTCGGATCTATGAGAAAATCATTTTTCATTTGCCATTCGATATGATATCTTTTTTAAAATGATGATCCACCAAGATAGATTAGATCGATTAAATGCATAATGAAATCTGTATATATGTACTTACTTACTTACTTACTCGTTTTTCCTTTCACAACGTGATCTTATCCGTTGGTTACTCCAATCGTGAAATGTTATCATGACTTTACAACGAGTTAATCTAAAGGAAAGAGAGAATAACAAACAAAGTCAGAATGCGTGAAGGCATTAAAAGTGAATATATCAAGTGGTTAAAAAGAAAAGGAAAGAAAGAGTGAAGAAGGAAAAAGGAAAAAAAAAAAACAAAAAGAAGAGTATAAAAGACAAGGCGAAACTTGAGGATAAAACCCGTGTGTATGCTTTTTTTTTTTTTTTTATCCATATAGATAATAATCTATATCTGTTAAGGGTCAGAAGGTAGCGAAATAAAGTGAGAAGAAAGGATTAAAGGAAAAAAAAAAAAAAAAAGAAAAAGAAGAAGAAAAAAAACAGAGAAAAAAAATGGAAAAAGAAGAAGAACGAACGATATGAAAAAAAAAAGAAGAAGGAGAGAAGAAAAAAGAAAAAGGAAAAAAGAAACAATCAACAAAGAAAACGTGAAGATAAGATCTAACTCGTGAGGTATAAAAAGACTCCTACCTCTTTTGTGCGTTGTTATTTACGTGCCTGAGGACAAGTAACGTAAATAATTTTAGAACACTCATGTATGTATATCCTTATCTATCGCCTCTCGCAAATCGTAATTAAAATAAATGACTTTTATATTTATGACTCGTGTGCGCCACGTTCTCGCTTCCTGTGTAATGGTAATAAAGATAAGGAAGGAAGATACTTTTTCAATGAGATAATCGTAAAAAAGACCTTAACTCTGTTTCGAGTAAGTACTGTAGAATAACATACTTACGATTCGATCGTTCGTATCGTCTAAAACTATAAGAGAGAGAGAGAGAGAGAGAGAGAGAGAGATGGGGAATGGCGGGAGGAAGGGGAGGGTGGGTAGGGAGCTTGCTAAAGGACGAAAATTATTTTCCGTAAAATCCGAAAACTTCCGAACGATTATTAAAATTACCGCAAGAATTTAATAGACCGACGATGATAGACGGATAGTCACGGTAATTTCCCGACGCCTTCGGTGTTGTTCCTTAAACGTTACACAACGCTTCCTGGTAGCTCGTGACCGTGATTAGGAAAAAAGAAAAAAGAAAATAAGAAAAAGAAAAAGAAAAAAAAAATAATAATAATAAAAAGAAAAAAAAAAGAAAAAAAAAAAGAAAAAAGCATCTTGGAATAATTGTAAAAGAAGGGAGAGATTGAGGGAGGGATTGAGGAAGGGAAGGAATGAGGGTGAGAAGGGGTTGAATGATGATAACCAACAAATTTCCTTAACTCGACTCTAATCTTTCCGATGGCACACTGACCCAAAGAGATATTTACTTTTCTTTTTCCTTACCGAGACGAGACAATTAACTTGTGTACCCGGTACACAATTACAACGAAGAAGTTGATAGTATTTGCGACGATACTACTAGCACGCTAATGATGCGTCTATTGTCACATTACGTCATATTACGTCTAGGATGTAACCTACCGGATGATGATCATGATGATGATTATGATGATGATTATGATGATGATGATGATGATGATGATGATGATGATGATGATAATGATGATGACGAAGTAGACGACGATGACGACGATGATGATGATGATGATATTGACATCAGGAATGTTTAGAAAAATATTTTTAGATTCCTAAGTAGCGTATAACTATTTATCTATTTATATATATATATATATATACATGTATGTATGTATGTATGTATTTATATATCTTCTATTTCTAATAAATCCTTTTGCCTGATCTATATTTGACCTATACCTTTTAAAAGAAATAAGAAAAATGAAAGCGTAGATCGATCGAGAATGAGCTACCATCTTCTCGTAGGATCGAATTTCTTAAGCGAGATCGAACGAAATCACTTCCCGCTTCGTAATACAGGGGTACCGATGTACCCTCGGCTACGGCACTAGGCCAAAAGAGCGTGGCACGCTCTTACGGTGCGAAATTACATTGGGGGGCTAATTGCATGGCGGCGGTAGCGCAAACACGTGTCATCAGTCGACCGACCACCACCACTACTACTACTACTACTACTACTACTACTACTACTACTACTACCACCATCATTACTACCACTAGTAGACCGCTAGCAGCGTGCAAGGTACTAGGTACTAACACCAATACAAATGCTAACAACATCAACATCAACACAAATACAAACACAAACATCACCATCACCATCACCACCACCACCACCACCATCACCATCGACATCAGCCATTGCCTTTGCAATGCCTATGTTGCTGGGTAGCTGGCCGCTTGAGCTTGTATACGCTGAATTACGTAATTGAGGTAAATGCCAGCTATCCAGTGTGCGGGGAACTGTGCTAAATAAAATGCCATTCAATTAGGCAGCGGGAGGACCCTGACTCGATGTGTTACTCGTACTGCCGTTACTCGTTCGCGATACCTATATATATATATATATATATATAGAGAGAGAGAGAGAGAGAGAAGACCTTTCCTAAAGCTGATAGGTCCTCTCATTGGAAATCGTGTGATTTCTTTAAACGAAAAAAAAAAAAATAATAAAAAAAAAATAAAAAACCAGAAGAAAAAAGAAAGGGAAAAAAAATTTATTTTCCACAAAAAAAATCTTCTCTCTTTCTCCCTCTCTCTCTCTCTCTCTCTCTCTCTCACTCACACATTCCTTTCGAACTCTCTTTTTCATTCTTTTTGTTTTTTCGTTTTTCTCTACTTTTCTCTTTTTTTCCTCTCCATTCATTCACCCATCCAAAGTATCTAATCCAGCTCTATCCATAAAACTAGAGATAATTATTCTTACCTCATTGGAAAAGCCGATCGCCTCTATCTGTCAAAGATCGAAATCTAAAGAGTGTACCTAGCTATCTTATTCATGTAGGTAACTATTAATAAAAGTGAGAACGATTAGTAACACACGTCATTTGGCTCGTCTTCGTTTCTCTTATTCGAGTGTGACATTTCCTTACGAATACGAATGACACGTAGAAACGCATGCAATTTAAACCGCGAAGTGGCAATTTTATAACACCGACACGAGAGGAACTTTCTCTCCTTACTGCAATTTCGCGGATTTCGCGTTGATTCCTTTCGCGAGCTTCCTGCTGCCTGTCTCTTTGAACGAAGAGAAAGAAAATTTCCATCTTCTTGTAGTATTTAATAGAAATGGAAAGAGAGGAAAAAAAAGAAAAAGAAAAAGAAAAAGAATAGAGAAAAGAGAGAAGAGAGAGAGAGAGAGAGAGAGAGAGAAAATAGAAGCAAACTGTGGATACTAGAGAAAACTATTTTCCGTATACGACAACATAGAATCAGGAAGGTGTCGAAAGTATCGCATGTGGTACGACATTGAATCACGGACGTTCGGGATAATTTCAAACTTTCCAATTCTCTTGAGAAGAATCAGCCCGTGAAATACGAAAGAATGAGGAGAACAACCCCAGCGAAAGGAGTTCGCAATGTCTGAGACCACTGAGTTAATGTATATATACATATACATATATATATATATATGTATGTATATGTGTGTGTGTGCGTGTGTGTGTATGTATAAGTGGGCTATAAGAGGGAGGGCGGGTGTTCAGCTCGAAGAATTTCTCAGTGCCTGGAGCAGTGACAAGCTCGGATCATA